GGTTCATTAAAAATACATAAATACTTCAAGACTTGTGCCTAATTTTTTCCGTTTTTAAAAATAGCGCTGTGCCCCGAAATACTATTTTTATTAGAGTATAAGTTGTGATACAATTTAGTTTTTTTAACTTAAGTTTTATTTATCAAATTTATAGTGCATAGATAACAATTTGGCGCCCAACTTCTTCGTTTTCTTAAATGTTTTTGTGATTTTATGTGGTATTTATTTTCAAGGTTTTCGATGCTTTTGATGAAAGAAAATATATTCTTTGATCGCTCATATTCATAATTTCCTTAAAATTAAGATAATTACAAAATAGATTTATAACAACATAACAATAACAATGTTATGTCTGTAGATTTCCCTATTCCAAAATATTATGATAATATTTATTGTTATATAAAATAAAGTATTTATTCATAATATAAAAATTAAAATAGATTTTATATCATATCATGAAAAAAGTGCCCTTATACCAGATATTAATTAAAAACTTATAAAATGAACATTTTGTTTGTCATGACTAGGGATGGGATTTTAGTTATTTTACCTTTTTTTAACCGATGTAACTATTTGAAAACCAATAATGCCAAAATGTGTTTTAAAAGATTTTCTTTTATATGAACCTAACTTGTTTTCACCTTTTTTACCTTTTTTGGAGGTTTTTGCTTTTAACTACCTTTTTTATACTTTTGTTACCTATTTTTTTAAGTTTTTTTCACCTTTTTTACCTTTTTTAGAGGTTTTTGCTTTAAACTACCTTTTTATACTTTTGTTACATATTTTTTAATTTGTCATTTTATTTTCATATATTTGTTACCTATTTTTACGTATTTTTACTTATTTTATTTTTTTTGTTCTTTTTAATATTTGCGCCAATATTTTATCCAGGGCGTGCAACTCAACGGTATAGAATTTTTTCTTATGGTTACAGACTGTAACAGTAACTTTCTTTACAGTTACCTTCATTGTAGTGACTCACTACTAGTGAGCTTATGTTCTGTCATAGAACTTCTGTGTAGTGAGTGTCACTCAGTAAAACACAGTTTATTGCATAGAAATAGTTTATTGTGGGTATGTTCTGTGTTTGGGTATGCGGCTAAACAAAATTATAAACGAAACTTAAACTTTTAATGTTTTTTTTAACTAAAATGCTGTTTTTTTTAACCTAAAATGCTTTTTTTAGTACCTTTTTAGTTACATATTTTTCAGTTTTTAGTACCTAAATATCCCATCCCTAGTCATGACAGTCAAGGATATTATTTCGTATTTTTGTATATTAAGGTATACATTTTCACTTTTGGCCAGACTCAAGGTCCGAAAAAAATCCCTGTGTTTACTGGGTCACGTACAAAATTATATTCAGCATAAATTGAATTAAACTTAAGTACTGCTTAAATTATTAAAACCTTTAAATTTTGACAGCACAACGTTGCAATGTTTTGGAGTAAAATTTATTTCGGTAGGTACCCAATAAAACAGTACGTGTAAAAATTGTTAAATCAAAAAAAATTTGAGTTAATAAAAATCTCTAAAAAATGTTTATGAATAAAATCTGGCATTAGATCAAAAATTGTATGTTTTTACAATGGATATATCGTTTAGTAAGTGTTAAAGTAGTTGTCTAATAGTAATATGTAATTTTTATTGTATGTACGAGGTGTGTTCAGAAAATAACGGGAATTTTTAAATTTCGCGGGTTCAGAGGGTCCGGTTGTCATAAAATTTTCTTTATTATGTTGGTATACATGCCCCCGAAGTATGATACAAACTTTAGCCGTTTTCATTGTTTACTTTGCCTGTGGCAGCCGCTAAGGTTGGACGTGTTTTATAAGCTCGGCGATTTTTCGTTCGTTAAAAGAAATGGATCAAAGAATTTGTATCGAATTTTGCTAAAAAAATTAAATAAATTCTGTGAAATGTTAACAAAGGCCCATAGTGAGTCTGCTATAAGAAAAACAAGAGTTTACAAGTGGTATAAGAGTTTCCAAGATGGCCGTGGAGACGTTGAACGCACAAGCAAATTAACAACCGATAAAAACATGGAAAAAGTGGAAGAAATGGTTATAAACCATCAGAGAAGTCGCTGATGATGTTGGTATATCGATTGACTCATCCCATGAAATTTTTTCGAATGTTTTGGGTATGAAACGCGTGGCAGCAAAATTTGTTCTAAAATTGTTAAAGTTTGAACAACATTTTTGGCCAAAAACAATACTGTAATGATGCCCCAGCCTCCACATTCGCCAGACATGCCTCTGTCTGACTTTTTCCTATTCCCAAAAATAAAGAGAACCTTAAAGGGCCGTCGTTTTGCAAGCATAGATGACATTAAAAGCGCATCGCTGAAAAAACCAAAGGCTATCCCAAAGATTGAGTTTTAGAAGTGTTTCGAGTATGTTGTCTATTTCTAGAAATTATTAAGAAATTTCATAGTAATAAAATTGCCATTTTTTATTAATAAATGATTCATTCAGGTAATAAACATTATGCAAATAGTTATTTCATAGTAAGTACCTACAGTTAATTAACATCTACGTTACTCATTAATTTGCATAAAATTACGCCATCATTTCAACGAATTTCTTCCATTTTAAGATTCAAAAGTCTGCAAAACACACACACAACAAGGTCTATTCTATCTCGTTTCGCGCATACCAAACCATTTTAATAAACCTTATTCTATGATAGAATGTCAACAATACGTTTAAAGCATACGAACTGTACACTGAAAGAAATTTGTTGCTAAAAGTAAATACAAATTTATACTAAAAATTTTATACTAGTGCTTTACACATTTATACTACTGTTTATTATGAATGTATGGTAAATTTTGTAATACATTTATTGTAAAGAAGATATGTTAGATCTAAATAAAAATAAACTTACCCTTACTATAAAATGTAAACTATAAGTGAATTACAGCAAAAAAATATTGCTAGAAACACCATTTATATTGCTAGGGCAGCAATAGGCTGCTAACCAAACGAATATATTTGTTTTAGCAATGTATGTGGTAGTCTATATATGAAACATAAAATATATTTGCCCTAATTATTTTTTTATTTAACTTTAGTATATATTTCTTTCAGTGTACATCATTTTTAAATAAATAGGTAGTTTTTCACAAAAGAGAATCTTACTCGACAAATTTCATTAAATTGCACAGCCAAATCGCGCACGTAATATGTGTTTTACGTTGCAAGGAAAAAACTAAAAAACTGGTTTAGTACTCGATTTTGATTGATTATTCCTTATATCATTGATTAAGAAACTCAACGCCTAAATGCTTATATACGAGGTGTGTTCAGAAAATATCGGGATTTATTTATTCGTCTACATTAATGTTGTCGCCATCAAAATAGTCCCCATTGGATATTATGCACATGTGCCAGCTCTTCTTCCAATACTCGAAACACCTCTAAAACTCGATCTTTGGGATAGCCTTTAGTTCTTTCAGCGATGCGCTTTTAGTGTCATCTATGCTTGCAAAACGACGGCCCTTTAAGGTTCTCTTTATTTTTCGGAATAGGAAAAAATATGGAGGCTGGGGCATCATTACAGTATTGTTTTTGGCCAAAAATTTTGTTCCAAATTTAACAATTTTAGAACAAATTTTGCTGCCACGCGTTTCATACCCAAAACATTCGAAAAAATTTCATGGGATGAGCCAATCGATATACCAACATCATCAGCGACTTCTCTGATGGTTTATAACCTTTTCTTCCACTTTTTCCATGTTTTTATCGGTTGTTAATGTGCTTGTGCGTTCGGGGCGTTCGTCATCTTCAACGTCTTCACGGCCATCTTGGAAACTCTTATACCACTTGTAAACTCTTGTTTTACTTATAGCAGACTCACTATAGGCCTTTGTTAACATTTCACAGAATTTATTTCATTTTTTAAGCAAAATTGGATACAAATTCTTTGATCCATTTCTTTTAACGAACGAAAAATCGCCGAGCTCATAAAACACGTCTAACCTTAGCGGCTGACACAGACAAAGTAAACAATGAAAACAGCTAAAGTTTTTATCATACTTCGGGGGCATGTATACCAACATAATAAAGAAAATTCCACACCTGTAATTTTTAACCAATCAAAACGTGTATTTTTGATAGATCACCATGACAACGGTTGAATTTTAGTGGAAATTTTTTCCTCGTGGGTACCCAACAGCGAATTATACTGGAAATTTTTTGACGTTTATAATGACAGAATATTTTTTTGACAATCTGGTTTTTATTTGTTTACATGATAATTTTGATACATTTCCATTACAAAGTTTAGATGTTTTCTATATTCGTTGGACACCTCCTTTCTTCTTAATGGCGAAAATGCAGGACTTGAAATAAATTAAATGTCTATGTCTAATGAAATATATATAATATTTAGACACTAGAATAATTCTATTCACCTTTTTTTCCATTTAGCACTGAGTTTTGAATAGTTAAGATGCAAATATTCGTGAACAATTCAAAGCAAATTTTCTTTCTTCAAGTAGGAGCCACAATCCTCTAATAATGCGGGTAAATAAGTCATTGCACGATGATTGATCATTACAGCAGACAATTTCACATTTTTTTACGTCGTGCCGCTTGACAGCTTCAAAACTGAAATAACTTTTAGGTTGGGGTTGACTTAGTTGCCATGGTAACTAAATAATCAAGTCAAGGTCAAGTTAAATCAAAAAATAAATTTTAATTATTTAAACACAATTTGGTGTGGAATTTTCTTACCGAATACCACACGAGGTCAAATTAAATCCGGAAATTTTTTCTCCCTCATGAATATTTTTAGAAAATTATCCCTCGTCTTCGACTCGGGATAATTTTCAAAATATTCATGAGCTCGAAAAAATTTCCGGAAATAATTTGACCTCTAGTGGTATTACTAGTGAAAATTTTATGACAACCGGACCCTCCTAACCCGCGAAATTTAACAATTCCCGTTATTTTCTGAACACACCTCGTAATGTTGACAAAGTAATGAAAGAATACCTGCTCCAGACGTGATTGGGTGCATCCTTGGAACCAGCAGTTATGGACAATCTGGATAACATCGATCCCAAAATACTGTTGTCTGATCTCCTCCTGTTGCCCAATTTTTGACCGTTGATTTGGGCCGAATTCAAAATTAAATTCGGTGCTGATTTATTGGCCAATAACCTAAAAAACACATATTTTATAAAACCTTATTTTTTTTGTTTTTTTTTTCTTCTATATATACCTTCCATATTGCTCGCGATTCCTCACAGTCCTCCTTTCATTCTCCACGTGATATTCATTTTTTGTTTCGGTGTCCATATTGTGGATTTATTTGTTATATCAGTCAATAAATTACTTAAATTAAGTATATATAGGTTTATACAGTTTCTTCTTAATATTATTATCACAGGTTTTGTTTAAGGAACTTTTTGATGCCCAAGAAAACTAAAACAATAAAAATTATGTTTCATTAGAAAAAATCCATAATTTATATACTCTAAGGTACAGTAATATAGACCTTAACCTTAAAGCATATAATTGTATAAACCAAAAAAGAGTAAGCCAATTTTATTTTTTAAACATTTGATAACTCAATTTTTCCCAATTAATAAAGCCGGTGACTAAAACGTCACAGTTTGTCAATGTGAAATACATTTTAATTAGGTATTGCTTTCCTACAATAATGACCTTTGGAACAGGTTAAAAACATTGCAAAAATCCCATTGTAGTTTATTTATTTTTCTTCAACCAAAAATATAATTTGTTTTTCCTACACGCGTAAACTTTTTAAATAAATCATTTGGTTTGGTGTGAAAATAAATAATTTCGACTTGTTAAGTAAACGTTTTAGTAACTTTATTTTAATAGAAAAAAATACTATAGGTATATTTATTTTTCAATAAAAATGAATGATGCCTATTCTGTACCTTCAACGTGCGTGATTATGGTAATTTTTGCCAAGGTCTTAATAATCCTACCATGAAAATGTTTTATGGTATTCCAATTTTAAAATTTGCATTTTCATTAGAATTGGCTGAAACTGGAACTTCCTATACTTATATGTATTAAAGAACAGTTTTTGGTGTCAATGACATGATTAAAAAATTGGTCTTGAAATGAGCCAATTTAATGGACAGATTGTTGAATTTATACAATTTTTCATCATTATGTTATTAGACTGATTTGGACATAATTTGCATTGGTGAATTTTAAATTTGTTTAAATTATGATTAAATTTTATTACATCAAAAGTATACCACTTTATTTAAAAATTTGTTGGCAAAAAAACACTCAAATACAATATGTAAAAGGTTTTTATTTGAAAAGAAAATTTAAAAATTGTTATTGAAAGACTCAACAAAATATTTATAGCTTTTCATAGGTAGATGATTTATGTTATGTTTTAAATTTTATATATAATCTATACATATGTAAATATAAACATATTGAATTTTTTTAACGATTTATTTTTGTATGTATTTTTAATAAATTTAGGAAAATAATTATTTTTTTGTGTAAATATTTATTTTTTGAACGAATTATATTTTTTCATATTTCATTTCCTACAAAAAATATTCAATGCATTAATGCTATAAAATGCATAGTTTTAAAGTTGTAGAGCATTTAATACCTACATTTTACTGTAAACAACTGAAGTCTATGGCAAAACTGTTAAAATTACAAATAAAAAGAAAATTTAATTTTCTACAAAAAAAGATTTAATGCATTTATGCAATAAAATGCATAGTTTAAAAGATATACAGCATTTAATACATTTTACTGTCAAATATTGTAAACAGCTATATAGTCTGCGGCAAAACAGTTAAAATGATAGGTTAAAAGTAAAAAACTGTTTATAGAAAATTTAATTTCCTACAAAAAATATTCAATGCATTATTGCAATAAAATGCATAGTTTAAAAGATATAGAGAGTTTTATACATTTTACTGTTAAATATTGTAAACAAACGAAGTCTACGGTAAAACGGTTGATATTACAAATAAAAACTGGGAAAGACTTTTATAGAAAATTCAATTTCCTACAAAAAAGATTTAATGCATTAATGCAGTAAAATGCATAGTTTAAAAGATATAGAGTATTTAATACAGTACTGAAGATTTTTATAGTAAATTAAATTTTCTACAAAAAAGGTACTTTGCATTAATGCAGTAAAATGCATATAATTATAATTTAAAAGATATGGAGCCTTTAATAAATTTTACTGTCTAATTCATATTGATATTGAAAAAATATTGTTTGTTTAAATCAAATCACCCTAATGTGGATATTTATTTGAGGAAAATTTTATCATTTATTTCATGACGTATATTTCTAATCGAATATCCTATTTTAGATTTTGCCACTTCCTACAGATATAACTACCAAGGTTTTTTATTTTATTCTCCTATTGATAATTATAAATACTTGAAAAATTATTTCACACAGGAAAATCTTAAACAAATCCTAGCTAATTTGTTTAATAAAAATTTCGTAATATTTGAGGATAGATAAGATAATTTTAAATTTTAGTTTTTATATGGAATTTCACAATACCTGCTAAAGTAGTAACATCAATTTTCCGTACCAACTTTCTATTGTTTTTAGTTTTATTTCTTCGTTCAATCATTTACGAGTTGTATAAGATGGCTAATAAAAACAAATGACTTTAATAATTAGAAATCTAATTTAACAGTTTTTTCTTTTTCTTCGTTAAAAATATCACAGTGGTTCCGATTATGAAACAATTGGCTTCGACAAATTTAAGAGCGTTGTTCTAAAAATAAACGTCACAAAATGCCAATGAAATGAATATTCTCAATAGATTTGTTCCTAGTATATTCTTGGAACGTGAAAGTTAATTTAGATTTTGAAATGTTCTGGAAATATTAGCAACAATTGTTATTTATTTGAACGAATTGTGCAACAATTTTGTTAATCACATGAGACGGTAGTGATATTTGAGTTTTTAGTTATGATGATTAGGTTATATGTACAGGAATTGCATACCCAATAGTTCAAAATACAATACAAATTTTGACGTTTTTTATTTAATAAATCTTTTGGTAGCGTCACTTAAAATGACGGTTTAATGTTTATAGCGTTGTCATGGCAACGTAATTGTTTTCATGGGTCACTGCGAAACACCTTCTAAATTATTTTGAACACCTGAATACGTATACTTAAATAGAAACGCGCGAGATAAGAAAAAGGGGGTCAGTGCGAAATACTGCATGCGAATTTTACCTTGTTTCTTCCAAACTGCACAAAAAATTACAGCACCTCTAAATGCCCGCGATAGTGTTTATACTTGTCCACAAAGTCCATATTTTTGTGAAATATTAAATCATAAGTCATGGCGAACACGCAGACACACGCACATGAAAACACACAGATGCACCGCGTTGTGGCCACTATTAATAACGAAACAAATGAGTAGCGCGGCGCGCGTTTGTGAAATAAAACACGCTTCCGTTGTCGTGGTACCGTAGCGAGCCGGCCGACTTGATATCTGCAGCGCTCTCGCCGCGTTCGTCGCTTGTTCGGTTGTTACGCGGTTTTGGTGCTTTTGTTTTTTGCGAATTTTGCCTGCTGGCCACGGTGGGACGCATCGAGGAAAACAACAATTCTATAATATTACAAGATAATTACAAAAAAAATTGTTATGTATATGTATACATGTATATTACATTTTTAAATTCTTACATTTTAAAATTTTTACCTTTTTACATCTCACATACTAAAATTTTTTCAGTCTTACATTCTTACATTTATAAATTTTGACTTTTTTACATTTAAACATTCTTACAATTTTACTTTTTACATACGTACATTCTTAAATTTTTAAACTTTTACTTTTTTACATTTAAACATTCTTACATTCTTAAATTTTTGAATTCTTATATTCTTAGATTTTTAGATTTTAACATTCTTACATTTTTACTATCTTACATTCTTAGACTTTTAGTTTCTTAAATTTATAGATTTTTACATTCTTACACTCTTAGATTTTTAGTTTTTTAGATTTTCAGATTTTTACATTTTTGAATTTTTAGTTTATTACATTTTTTCATTTTTAGCTTTTTAGTTTTTTACATTTCTTCTTTCTTACATTTTTACACTTTTTCTTTTTACATTTTAACATTCTTACAATCTCAAATTTTTGAATTATTACTTTCTTAGATTTTTAGTTCTTAGATTTTTAGTTTTTTAGATTTTCAGATTTTCACATTTTTACATATTTACATTTTTCCTTTCCTGTTTTTTAAAAGTGTGTTTTAAAAGTGATTTTTATATTTTTCTTTTTATGTATAAGTAAAATATAAAAAAAAAATTTTAGATTTTTGGATTTTTTCATTTTTAAATTTTTACTTTTAACATTCTTACACTTTTACTTTTTTACATTTTAACATTATTAAATTTTTACATTTTTAAATTTTTACATTTTAACATTCTTCCAATTTTAAAATTTTACTTTTTACATTCTTACATTCTTAAACTATTTTTTACATTCTTAAATTTTTACATTTTTTCTTTTTAAGTATAAATTTTATACTGTAAAATGTTAGATTTTTAGATTTTTTTATTTATAGCCTTTAGGATTTTTGTTTTTTACATTTTTACAATTTTTAGATTTTTGAACTTTTGGATTATTAGATTTTTCCATTTTTGGATTTTTTAATTTTAAGATTTTTTTAATATTTCGATTTTTGGATTTGTAGATTTTTTCATTTTTACATTTTAACATTCTTACATTCTTAAATTTTTACATTTTTTTATTTTTACATTTAACATTCTTCCATTTTTAAATTTTTCTTTGTATATTCTTAAACATTAAATTTTTTACATTCTTACATTTTTCCATTTTGACATTCTTACATTTTTAAATATTTACTTTTTACATTCCTACATTCCATACATGCCATATGGCATCACTGGCCTTGAAAAGGTTAAACTTTCAATTTTTTACATTTATAAATTTTATTTACAGGGTGTCCAAAATGTGATGGGATAGTATTGCTATCTTGGTAACGGTTATAGTTGGAATAGGGCATCAAGAGTTCAAAAGTTGCCTAATTACATGCCTTTTAATATGGCATAGAACATAGCAAAAAAAAATCAGCGGTTCTCAAAATATTTAAAAAAATATAAAAATCGGTTAAAACTTATTATCGCTATAACTTTTTTATTTCTAGGAATTTTATAATACTAAAAGGTTTACATTAAAACATATAAAAAACATACATTTTGATCCAATTTGTGTATTTTTACGCCAACTAGATTTTGAGATACGGCTACTATCTTTTGTTTCTCCTATGGCCGCCATATGTGGCCATATCTCAGAATCTAGTAGGAGTAAAAATACACAAAAAGGATCAAAACGTATGTAATTGTGTATGTTTTCATGTAAACCTTTCAGTTTTTCAAAATTTCTATAAATAAAAAAATAATAGCGATAATAAGTTTTAACCAATTTTCAGTTTTTTTCAAATATTTTGAGAACCGCTGATTTTGTGTGCAATCTTTAGATGCCATAATAAAAGGCATGCAATTACGCAACTTTTGAACCCTTGATGCCCTATTCCATCTGTAACCGTTTCCGAGATAGCAATGCTATCCCATCACATTTTGGACACTGTATAAAATGTTTTTTTTTCATTCCTAAATTTTTAAAAGTTTTAGATTTTTGGATTTTTACATTTTTTACATTTTAACATTCTTCCATTTTTTAAATTTTTACATTCTTACATTCTTAGATTTTTTGTTATTAAATTCTTACATTTTTACATTATTGCATTCTTACAACTTTATATTCTTTTTTTAAAGTTTTAGATTTTTACATTGTTACATTCTTAAATTTTTTTATAGTTTTATATTTTTAGATTTTTACATCTTTATATTCTTACATTTTTGCATTTTTACATTCTTACAATTTTATAGTCTTTTTAGTAGGGACCTAAAGCTTACAAATTTTAGATTTCTACATTTATACAATTTTAGATTTTTAAATCTTTAGATTTTAACATCTTTTTATTTTTATATTCTTACATTTTTGCATTTTGACATTTTTGCATTCCTTTATTTTACATTTTTACCTTTTAACTTTTTATAATTTTAAAATTTTACATTTATTACATTTTTGGATTTTAGTCGGGTATTTTAATTAGGCACGAGCGAAGCTTGCGAGCGATATCAACTATTGCCTTGAACGTCTGACACCCATTATAATATTTATCATTTTTGAATTTAAAAGTAAAAAAATATATTATTTTTACAAAAAGAATTGACAACAAATTATTTATCCTGTAAATTACGTACTTGTACATTAAACTAAAATTGGGGCCTCATGCTTTTTTAAAACCGGTTTTTTTTGTCGGGACAATCTCACGATTTATAAATATATTTATCGAAATTTCATAGGAAGTAAAATGATGTAATTTCTTTATAATTTAAACGTTTAAACACATAAAAAACAATAATCAAGAACATGGTTTATGGGTTCAAGGTTTTGGGATTTTGTAACGAAATATACTAAATTCGTACCAACTAAAAATAAGTTGCTATTTTCACAGTGAAAATTTCACTGCATTCTTTGTGCCTGTTCTTTGGAAATAAGTTAGTTAGTTGGTAAAGTTTGTTTCAAACCATAGAGATAATTTTAATGCGGTTATTTAGTATAAGACATTATTAATGATTTTTCAAAGCAGTTATTTAACTTTTATTAAACTAGTTATGTATTTGACAATGTTTTTAACATTTTCTAAAATAAGGGATTTTAAAATTTGCCGCCCGACGCCGTAAATATTCTAATTCGTAACCTTGATAGTTACTGTACCTACCAGACATTAGCCGATTTTTTATTTAACGGTTTTAAATAGAACAAACAAAACCTTGACCAATAGACTCACAACTTCCCTAGCAACGCTGAGTTGCTATGACAACCTCCAAACAAAAAAGAACTGTTTATTTCACGTTTTTGTTAATTATAAATGATAATAAAACGAACACAAAAATTAGTGGACATTTTTTATTGATGCGTCAAAGATATGAACTGAGCCTTATTCAAAAACAAATTCGGCAACCCAACCCAGTGGTACTCGTTGCTATCGAACGCTTGCACGAAAAAATTCTTTGGACATTCCTGATCTTTCTTCTTATCCGTGGAAATAACTTTTCCGGTGAAAACCCTGTCGTCTAGGATAAACGAAACCTCTCTTTCCACTAGCACGGAAAAGTTTCCGATCACGCTGGTACGCGGAACATCCGTTTCCTCACCGCTGTGGATGAAGTAGATCCGGTAACCCGGATTGATCCGGGTGGAGTCTCCGAGAATTATGGCGGGAAAGTAGTTCCCGGACTCGTTGTGGGCCAGGACTAGGCTGGATTGGGCTTTTCTGAAGATAAACACAGTTAATTGTAAAACAATTTTTTTTACAAATTGAATAGAATAAACAAGGCCATATTGGTTTCTATGGTAACGCTTTTCACTTTTGACAGTTGCAGTGACATTTCTTTATGCAGTATTATTTAAAACTACTACGTATACCTTAAAAAAGTTATTTCTTTTTAATTTTTGATTCAAGTTAAGTAGGTATGTAAATGTATTATTAAAAATTAAATTTTATCATGTTTTTAGTAAAGTTGACGTCAATCCATGGATTCGCTATAAATACTTACTTAAGTGCTTGGGTGGTTTATTTTTGTTCAACTTAGAATTTTCGAAAATTGTAAACATTATTAATTAAAATTTGTGAAAGCTTACGTTAGACCATTTTGCTTCTTTTCGTCTTCCAAGTTTTTCTTGAAGTATTTGTAGTACAGATTTAAGGGTGCGTTCATTTTTTATTAATGTAACAAAAATTTTGATGAATTTACAAAACAAAAATTATATGATGGGTCAATCAAATTGACACTGACAATTAATATAAATTTAGTAATTAAAATCTGAGACCCTGTATAATCTGTACGAAAAATAATCATATAAAAATTAATATTAATGCATGATAAAATCATGGATTATTGTGTTTTACTTAATATAGCATTTTTAAAATTAGTATTTGAAACTTACTGCAGTAAGTTAGGCAACCCAGTTGTCAAAAACAAGTTATAAGTATTGCCTAGTAGATTTATTTCATATTAATTTAATTCAATAAATATACTTTATGCACGATGACATTATAATATGACAATTATAACAAAAATTCTTTGACGTAAACGTCTTTTTATAGCCCGCGGGCTTTATTATGTCCCAGCGGGCTATAATGAAACGTCAAAAATTAAAAACAACAATGTTACACCATTTGATATATTCGAAGTAAGTTTTTTCGTATAAAGATTTTGATTTTACCGGCAGCAGGCCGCAATTTTTCGCCTTTTCAGCTGCTTCCTCAATTTCATTTATCTTTAAACTTTAAAACTGACTGATGTCAGTTGACATTATAATATGACAATTATAACAAAAATTCTTTGACGTAAACGTCTTTAAAAACAATAATATATTAAAAATAATAATATATTAATCGTGCATAAAGTTTTGTATGCATTGCTGGCATAACTGGTTTTTATGGTCCTACGACGCTTTTCTAGCCCTCGCGCTAACGCGCTCGGGCTCGAAATAGCGCCTCGGACCATAAAAACCTTATTATGCCCTTAATACATAAATAACTATTTTTAAATCCTATTTTTTATATTATTATAATAATAATACATATACAGGGTGTTTCTGCTCAAAATGAACAACGTAATAGAGGTTGTAGATCTCATCGAGACCAACACTTTTTTAAATAAATATTTTTTATTTGAAATTTTGTTTTCGAATCATTGATATTTTTTTGTATCAGCAATGTTTATGACCGGGATGTAAATCAAAATCTAGTGAATAAAAAAGTAGATAAATGTGTATTTTTAATATTTCTTTTTTTTTTTAATTTCCAGAATTACGTTTTCAGCTTTTTTCAAAATCGTTTGAGAATCGTTATCCTATAATTCAGATAAAACAACTAAAATAATGTTTATAAAATCATAATTTTGAAAAGTGATCCAAACACGTGTCAGAATGATTTATTGGTAATGAGTAATGCGCATTATTACTATATACACACCTTATTTTTATTACTTAAGCAACAACAGGTTGCATAACCAGTAGATTTACATTGTTATTGAAAAATTTATAAACATATATATATACATACATATATGTACGTGTATTCCGTAATTCCTAATAAATTAACTCGTCCAAAACAGGTATTAAAGAATTAAGCAGTTTTTTCAATTTCAGCCTTTATATTTTGTCATTTTTTTTCAACACATTTATATTCATATGAATATCATGTACATTTTTTCTTTATATTTATGTATGTTACAAACTATTGTGATGTAACCTTGGCACTTTTATTTTCAAGTTTAAAGGTAATAAATTAAATTCAAATCTTCGACATCCTTTTATTACTCACGATTATTTTTATTTTATTTGTAAATAATAACCTGAAGCTACCAAAGGAATCTATTAAGTTAGATTGATTTATGTCACTATATCACTATTAGTACCGATACTAGTTTATTTATAAGACAATTTACTCCAATAAGTAGATAATTAAATAATTTTCAAGAATAATTAAATAAAATCTGACATCTGTCAAAAGGTTAACCTCACTTTTTACCAATTTTAAATGTTATCATAGTCGCCTTCTCCCAATTTAAAACCCGATTGGTTCAAATCACAGTGAATATTGAAATCGGCCAATCACTATGCCTAACAACGTGAATAATGAGTTCATTATATTCCCGTTGTTAGGCAGGGAATTTATGTTTATTATTACCGGAAATTACCCAATATAAGTATAAAAGTAGCATTTTTGATATAATTTATATTTCAGGGTATTTCCTTGAAAAAATTAATATTTTGTTAAAAATGGTGAATTCGCCGGGATTAATAACCCAAGCATCGTTTTAAGTTTAAATAACTACAAATTTACTACAAGTCAACTTTAAAGTATAGATACGAAAAATTACCAAATTTGGGGAATGTTTTATTTCGGTATTTTACCTACATAATAACCTTTTTGATCTACTAAGAGATATCGTAGTTAAAACAATATAAATACCACAAATTTACGTAAAAATAACGCTATAATTACTAACTGTGTGCTCTCCCTTCCTAAAACATTGACATTCGTAATTTCTTTGTTCTTTTAATTTATATTTTACAAAATGGTACTTACAAAGTTATAAAGGCCACCCTAATAATATTTTGCATTAAAACTCAAACGCTCAGTATTTTATTGATAAAAATAGGCACGATACATCTTAAAAATTATATGCCCTCTAAATATTTACGGTTTTAAGAAAAATTATTGCTTGGGTAAAAATTCAACAAAACTTAAAACCTACAAAATTTTATAAAATCTTTTAAAAATCATTTAGATTTAATCATTTTTAATAACTAAAACTTTCCTTATTATATTTTAGAAAAATATTTATGAAAAAATATTATATAAATGTTTAGATACCTAAGTAATGGATGCCATCTTAAAAAACTCATTATGGCGACCTGAAAAAAAAATTCCCTTAAAGTTTTATTTTTCACTTTAAGCTTATTTGTCCTTGTTTGGTCAATATTAATAGTATTTATTACCACTAATAACCCTAAAATTACCAGTCGAATAGGAAATATTTACGGTTATAAAGTGGTCTTAATATCGTAAAATTATGACTTATGAGTAACATTTACCATTAAGTAAAAATTCTGACTTTAAAATTACTGTTAAATTTTCCTTTAGGTAAAATACACTTATAAGTAATTTTCTTTCGTAAAAATGACGTCCCTCATAATACTTTAAAGTGTTGAAACTTAAGGGTTATTAAAATAGGTAAAAATAACATAAATAAAACTTATTAAATAACTAAATAAAGTTTTAATTCAAAAAATTATTTTATTAATTTAAAAGCAGCAGTAAAAGTACTTAAATTGCCATGGCACTGAAGTAAAACTTTAACATTCTGCGAAATGTCACAAAAGTGTCAAAATTGGTGTTTGACCCCGGCGCTTCACCATTTTTGCAAATATAGCAAATAAGATGGAAAAAATGAATACCAAAAAAACTCGCGGTTCTCGTGTATTTCACACCATATTTTTTTACTGAAAGTACTCATAACAAATAACCATTTTATTATAAAACAACCTTCGCGGTTTGAGTGATAAATAAAAAAGTACACACAAGTTTTTGTTATTTATTTGTCAATTTGTAAAATTTTCACGTAGCATATTCATATACTCGTACATACAGCCTAATATTGATGCAATAATATATGTAGGTAATTCTTTAATTATTTTTATTTATTTGGTCTCGACGTGATGTTATTTTAAAACCACCACATTAACAAATATTTAATCATATTTTTTAAGTTTGCGCTAATTTAATTACAATTACAATTACATAAAAATAAATATGTATGTTTAAGTACCTAATAAAATTATATATTTCCAGTTATAATTTAATACATTTTAAAATGCTGATTATTTTGTATGTTAGTAAATCATTACATGGTATTATTGGCAGAAATATTTATAGAAAAATACGAGTTACATAATACAAAATAATTTTCTTTTTATATTAATTAAAATTTTTAATGAATTCACAAAATTATATCACAATATTTATTGATATCTCAAAACATGTTTTAAAAAAAATTATCATTAACCTTACTAACATTTAGATAGGTAATTTACAAAAATAGCATAAAAGTTTAAAAAAACTATCTACCTATGATTCATAAGTTTTAATCAAAATATAATCTGCGGGGAACGGGGTAAGAGGAGTTACTTTTATACTTAATGCATTAAAAGAGATAGGTACCAACTTAAAAAAAATTACTTTGTCAATTTATTACATTATTACAATAAAAAACAGCCAGCTGATTTTATAATTATTTTTTATTTTAATACAAAATATATACGTGTGAATTTATTGAGATAACCTAAGTGGTTCTGCACTAATGCAGAATTTTAAGAAATCATACATTTTGAATATCATACCTTCACGGAGGTTAGGATTTCGTATGTTTTTTTTAAACATCCCTTTGTATATTTAAAATAAGTTATTGTATCTTTTGACACCTTTATATTTTTTAAAAATACAATTGTACATACAAAAATATTTATAAAAAAAAATTTACTTACTGAGATATTACACTTCACGGTGGATAGGTTTTTAAATAGCAAATTAATGAACTTAAAATTTTGAATTATAAAACAGCAACACTCGCATCTGCATATAAATTCTAACTGACCTTCAGGAATCACATGCATCTATAATGTCGTAAACAGAGGTTTTTGCTTATTTAAAATGATTAAAGTGCCATCCGTTGCATAAAATTTAAAGCAAAACAGATTCAAGGAGGATAGAATCAATTTTTGTAACACCTACATAAATGGTTATAAAAATTATTTCTTTTAATTTTTAATAATATTTTATATTTGATTCGATTGCTTTGGATGTGTTTAAATTACTTAGTAAACTGATATTTTTAGTATGCTTTTACTCACATATACTCATATCACACTCATATATGAGTTTGACCTACACTTTTATGTTCTATGAAAAAAAAATTATTAAAAAAATAAAGAAAAGATGAGAAAACCATGAAATAACAATACAATTGTGTTTTTTTTAATTTTCTGTGACGAAATTATGGTAGTCGCCAAATAAATCAAACCAAATATCCCTAGATAATCCAGTGTTGCCGGATCTTCCAGAAGAAAATGACAGATTGATAATTTTGGTTGGACACAGTCTTATTGCTGTGAAACTTGACAAAAATGTATATGACATTTCTACAGGCATTTTTAAAACTTATAACATCTGGCAACCCCGCAATTTTGCTTACAAATTCAATTA